AACAGGCTGCATCTGTTGAAATGAGAAGCCACATAAACAAGATCCAAAACCAGACCTCCAGATCACCTAAGGCAACTCCAAGGGGCAACAAGGTGGAACAATCTGATACTCAACCATCTGGACTCCCTGAACTGGCAACAAAATGGGATCTGGAGGGACCAGGGATTTAGCTCAGTGGTTCCACCACCTGCCTTGCAAGCACAAGGTCCTGAGTTTGATCTCCAGTCCAAAAAAAAAGAGTCTGGAAATAATTAAATGAGAAATAATTTTTCAGATAACAACCAGAGATTGTGTTCACAGTGAAAGACATGATTAATACCTCTAGAGCAGACACAGATTAAAAAAAAGAGAGGAGCTGAGGAACATGATGGAATTACAGCACAAGAAACAAATAGAATCCATAAAACACATGCAAACAGATTTTCAGGAGGTTGAAAACTCTATTGAAGGTTCGTGCAGCACAATGAGCCAATGTGAGGGTAGAGTATCAGATACAGAAGATGCGATTGCGATTAGTGATCAGGAAAAGAAAGATTCCTTAAAAATAGTAAGGGGAAATGAGAGATCAGTCCAGCAGCTGCTAGGTGATACAAAGAAAAACAGAAGATTGATAGCAGAAAATGAAGAAACAGAAGATGCTACAAATGACCTAAAAAAGTTCACAGAAGTAATAGTAGAAAACTTCCTAAGCAAGAGGAAAGAACTTGGGCTGGGGATTTAGCTCAGTGGTTCCGCAACCTGCCTCACAACCACAAGGACCCGAGTTCAATCCCTGGTACTAAAAAACAAAAGAAAAAGAAAAAGAGGAAAGAATTCTATATACAGATAAGTGAGGCATATATGACTCTGACTAGCCATGATCAAAACAATCTGCACCTAGGCATATAATAGTCAAGATTCCAGAATCTCAACAGAAGAACAAAATACTACCAGCAGTTAGACAAAAGAAACATATCACATACAAATGAAATCCCATCAGAATCACAGCAGACTTCTCAACTCAAAACCTCAAGTCAGGAAGAGCCTGGAGTGAAGTATTTCAAGCCCTAAAAGAAAACAAGCTCCAACCCAGATTGATGTACCCTGCAAAACTATCTTTAAAAATTGATGAAGAAATATACTACCATGATGAAGAACACCTGAGGAACCTCATGAATACCAAACTGGCACTCCAAAAAATGGTAAACAATATATATTTTTTAATTAATTTTTTTCTTAGGAATCTTTTCAAAAATTAATTTTATTGGTGCATTTTAGGTATACAATATAATGACATTCATCATTGAAGATTTCCTCCTTTACATATAGTATCTTGATTCTTATTTTTCCCCATTCCTCTGCCCTCTCTTCCACCACTCCACCCCTCCCTATTTACAAAGACTTTGTTTCTGTACTCCATGTGACAGGAATCTGAAAAAAAGTAGCAGTAGCTATTCTATTTGTAGACAAAATGGATTTCAAACCAACACTAATTAAGAAAAACAAAGAAGGCAACTACATTCTTATAAAGGGAACAATCCAAGAGGAAGTGAAGACAACCATAAACATATATCCACCAAATACTAGTGCACCCACCTATATGAAACAAATACTAATGGACATGAAAAATCAAATAAGCACTAATACAATAGTGGGGGACCTCAGTACCCCACTACACAAATAGATAGGTCAACTAGACAAAAAATAAAGCATAAAACATTACAACTCAAGCTCTTGAACAAATGGATTTAACAGATGTTACAGAGTATTCCACTCCACAAAATTAGAATACACATTCCTTTCAGCTACCCACAAGTTGTTCTCCAAAATAGACCACATACTAACTCATAAAAAATGTTTAAGTGAGTGTAAAGGAACTGAAAGTATCCCCTGTATATTACCAGACCATAGTGTGATGAAATTGGAGATCAATAGCAAAAGAAACCACAAGAATTTCATAAACACGTGGAAGTTCAACAACACCCTGCTGAACAACCAATGTGTCACAGGGCAAATTAAGGAAGGAGTGAGACAGTTTCTGCCACTGACAATACAACATATTGGAATCTATGGAGCGTGATAAAATCAGTCTTACAAAGGAAATCCATAGCAGTGAATATGCACATTAGGAAAACAGAGCAAGCTCAAATAAACAACCTAATACTGAAACTCAAGCTTCTAGAAAAAGAAGAGTAGAACAAATTCAAAGCTCATATAAGGGAGGAAATTATAAAGATCAGAGCAGAAATCAGTGCAATGGAAACTAAGAGAATGATACAAAAAAAAATAATAATCAATGAAGCAGAGTTGGCTCTTCAAAAGAATAAACAAAATTGACCCTTAGCCAATTTTATCAAAAAAAGGAAAGATAAGGTCAAAATCTATGCAAGAAGGAATACAAAGGCTGAAATTACAATGGACCCAGCAGAAATCCAGAGGATCATCAATATGTACTTTGAGAACCTCTATGCCAATAAGATGGAAAACAGAAGAATTGGACAGATTTCTATATACATATGAATTACCAAAGTTGAACAAAGAAGACCTACAAATTCTAACCAATGCAATATCAATCAATAAAATTGAAAATGTAACTATAAACTCACCAACTAAGAAAAGCCCAGGCCCTGATGGTTCCATTGCTGAATTCTCTAAGACATTTAGGGAAGAACCATTGCCGCTCTTCTTTAAAATCTTCAGTGAAATTGAAAGGGAAGTAATACTCCCAAATTCATTCCTGGAATCAAGCATCACCTTGATCACAAAAGCAGAGAAAGACCCAACTGGAAAAGAAAACTATAGGTCAATCTCACTAATGAACACTGTTGCAAAAATCTTTAATAAGATACTGGCAAACAGAATGGAGAGCATCAAGAGGATCATACACCTTGACCAAGTTGGATTCATTCCAGGGATGCAGGGGTGGTACAACATACACAACTCAATAAGTGTAGTACACTATATTACTTGAGCCAAGGACAAAAACCATATGATCATATCAATAGATGCAGAAATAGTGTTCAACAAAATCCAACACATTTGTGATAAAAAAAAACTACAGAAAACTGGAATAGACAGTGTATCTCAACCTGATAAAAAGCCATCCATGAAACACCAACAGAGAGCATCTTACTAAATGGTCAAAAACTGAAATCCTTCACACCAAAATGTTCCTGAGAGGTATGGGAGATGCGCTGTGGAGTTATGGGAAAGTTGGTCCAAGTTCCTGGAGTTTCCCCCTGTGTTTACCTGGGCTCTGCTGGCTAGTGCCCCAGCTCCTTTCCTCCCTCCGGCCTTCAGAATCTACCTGGTCCCTCTTTCTGCTCTGGCCCACCATGGAGCAGCCACCTGGCACCCAGGAGTAAGTTAAAAAAGCTGAGCGAAGACAGTTTGGCTAAGCAACCTGAAGAAGCTTTTGATGTCTTAGAGAAGCTTGGAGAAGGGTCTTACGGAAGTATTTTTCAAGCAATACATAATCTGGCCAAGTTATTGATTAAACAAGTACCTGTAGAATCTGATCTTCAGGAAATCATCAAAGAAATTTCCATAATGCAGAATTTAATAGAAATAGACATGTGTTCTCTTTTTCTGTCATCTGAAATCCATTCTAAAATGGTTATATTTAGAGACCTTGAAGATCCAAAGTTATTGTTTAATTGTACAGCACCGATGGTTTTTATGTCACAATATTCTTTATTCCTATCTGGAAGCCTATTTATTGTATTCCCTTAGGTAGACTTATTTATTTATGCTATGTCACCTTTTTTTGTCTTGTTTTTTAAAGACAAAAATCAAACAGCTTTGGTGAAAGTAGGAACATATTAACAATTAATAATGTAAAACCAAATTTTACTGCAATCAAGGAGCTCTGGGGTACATTCCTTGATTTCCAGGATAGCTTTCCAATAGGAGAAAAGTAATAATAACAGTAGCACCCAAATGGGCTGCACATTTTCTGTATTGAAGCAATAATTCCATCTTTATCTTTTAGAATTTTGATTTTTGATATTTGCTACAAATAGAAATGTATGTATATGAAGATCATACTCTACTGGGCTGTGGGAAAAAAGGAACCCTTCTCCACTGTTGGTGGGAGTGTAGACTGATGCAACCAATATGGAAATCAGTCTGGAAATATCTCACAAAACTAGAATTAGGGGCTCCATTTGACCCAGCTATTCCCCTGCTAAGTATCTTCCTAAAAGAATTAAAAGAATCATGATATACATGCACCTATGTTCAGAGCGGCACAGTTTGTAATAGCTAAAACTTGGAAACAGTCAAATGGCCCATCAACTGGAGACTTGTTAAATAAGATTTTTAAAAATATAAAATGGAGTACTACTCAGCCATAAAGAAAGAGAAACTAGAGACATTTATAGCTAAACAGATGCACATTGCAGCCATACTCTTAAGTGATGTAAATAGGCACATGTGTGTAAATCCTGAACTGTTTCTTGTGTGAGAAATTGAAAGTGTAAATAAGGATCAAAATTTATAAAGAAGAAGAAAGAAAATAAATATAAGAAAGAAAAGAAGAGAAAGAAATAAATATAAGGATAAGAAAAAAATGGAAGCAAAGTCTTTGTAAATAGGGAGGGTGAAGGGGTTGAAAGGAGGGCAGGAGAATGGATAAAAAAATAAGAACCAAGATATATCATATAAAGGCACAAATTCCCAGAGATGAATGTCATCACATTATAATGCCTAAAATGTACCAATAAAATTAATGAATAAAATAATTGCAAAAAAAGAATTACATGAGATCTATTTATTATTTTTAATGATGTGGCCATTTTCACAATACTGATTCTACCTACACAGGTACAGGGCAGTCTTTCCATTTTATAACATGCTCTTGAATATATTTCTGCAAAGTAGTATAGTTTTCATTGTAGAGATCTTTCACCTCCTGGGATAGGCTAATTCCTAGCCTTTTTTTTTTTTTTTTTGCTACTGTGAATAAACTTACTTTTCTGATTTCTTTCTCAGTAGGCTCCACATTGGTGTACCGGAAGGTTATTCATTGTTTCACAGTTTTATAATTCATAAACCATATCTTTGTGAAATAAAATTTCTTTTCTCTGTATGCAGTAAAATAACAATCTATTATACTGTAATCAACTAGAAATAGCATTTCAGCAGTTTGAATATTGACTTAGGTCTTCTTTGCGAGTCTTTGCATTTTCAGGATTTTGCTGATTCACTTTGTTAACCCAGGGATGCTTGAGAGGGTGACACAGGATAGAGAAACACGAGGCAGCACGATGAGTTCTTTCTTTCCTTGCTGTCAGCTTTGAGACTTAAAACACGATATAATTATGTTTCTTAGGTAGAATGTTCTTATTTTTTACAATTTTTGTTGTACATATTTGTGCTTGGGAAGGAAATTAGATTGTAACAGTGGGTAAGATCTGAAGGCATTTGGTGCCCAGAGGCAGAGTGGGGAGCGTTGCACCGTGGCGGAGAGGCAGGTGTGAGGAAGACTGGTGCTGTGTGGACGAGTTTCTCTTCATCCTTCCAATGTGGAGCAGACGGAGCCTCAGACCCCAGGACAAACAGGGCTCCCTTCACAGAAGTCAACCCTGTCTTTGTATGTCTTATGAATCCTACATGGCAATGCTGTTGTGTCTGCAACAGCTTGGTTTAGCTAAATATGTCACGAATCCTATTTTGGAAACTGTTCCATCCCAGAACTCAATCTGAATTTGTTAGAAACAAATTGTCTGCAGCTGAGACAAGGTGAAATTACAGAGCAGGGAAAGAGATCTACCCTCATTTGCACGCTAGCAGCTGTGAGTTTAGCGTAGGGTTCATAATCATCCGCGAGTCATTTCAACCGGTAGAGCGATTAAAAGCACTTAGGTAGGGTTTAGCAGAGAAATTGGAAAAGGTAAAGATTTCACCAAAATAGCCTCATTTATATTAATTAGCAAACCTTGGAGAGTTTTGACTTGGCATTAGATCAATGGTTAAAGAAGGCACAGGAGGAAAAGGAGGAAGGTCTTGGCTGCACATTAAAGGTGTTCTTGACATTTTAGATCGGCAAGTACCCATCAGAGATTTTTTACTTTGAATTTTCTCGGTTTGGACATGGAAAGTGGCCTGAAAATCTTCACCCTCATAACAGTTATGCAATTTATAATTGGGAATTTGAGCAACGGATTTATAGTACTGATAAATTTCATTGACTGGGTCAGTGAAAGAAAGCTCTCCTCAGTTGATCCAATCCTCGTCATGTTGGCCATTTCTAGAATTGGACTTGTCTGGCATGTACTAATAAGCTGGTTTCCATTTATGGATCATTTATCTTCAGCTGCATATGTACAACTAATCAGTGTTTCTCTCTGGGTATTGTTCAATCATTTCAGTCTCTGGCTTGCTACGATCCTCAGCATCTTTTATTTGCTCAAAATAGCCAGTTTCTCCAGGCCTATTTTTCTCTATCTAAAGTGGAGAGTAAAAAATGTGATTCTGATGATGATGCTAGCAGCCTTGGTCTTCTTGTTTTTAAATCTGATAGTAATAAACACTCATGTTGAAGACTGGAACCATCGGTTTGAAAGAATCACAACTTGGAATTCCACAGTGAGTGACTCTGCAGCACTATCTCAGCTGATCATGTTAGAAATGATCATGTTCTCCCTCATACCATTTGTTCTGGCCCTGATCTCTTTTCTTCTGCTTATCTTCTCCTTATGGAAACATCTCCAGAAGATGAAGCTCAATTCCAAAGGACTCAGAGATCCCAGGACCAAGGCCCACACAAATGCCCTGAAAATTATAATCTCTTTCCTCCTACTCTACACTACTTACTTTCTGTGCCTTCTTGTGTCATGGATTTCTCATATACATCAGATTAAAATGGTCCAAGTACTTTCTGGGACTATTGGACTCCTCTATCCCTCAAGCCATTCACTGATTCTGATCCTGGGAAACTCCAAGCTAAGGCAGGCCTCTCTTTTGGTGCTGAGGCAGCTGAAGTGTGGGACAAAGGATGAAAAGTTTATAACTCTGTAAGCTATTGGAGCCATGTACTATTGGATGTTTTTGATAAAATAGTAGGAATCTACTTCAAGGATATTTATTCTTTTCCACCATTTCTTCCATTGTGAATGTCATTTTAATTTTTCAATTGAATATTTATAATAATGAGCTACCTAAGAACATTACATGTTTATGATGTGTATTTCTATATTATTGACAATTTGAAACCTTAGAAGGGATCATTGGTGGATTCCCTTGCCATTGAAAAATATCTTACAGAAATCTTAGACTTTACTTATGAGCCTCCAACCTTTTGCTGGTAGTAGCTCTTCAATTTAAAATCTTTCATTGGACCTAAGAAGTTGAGGAAATCACTTGACTGTCCTGTTAATTAGAGAACTGAGGAAAATCAGAATAATTATTTGGAACAGAAATAGGTAAATTTCTGATATTCGCTAGTACCTACAGGACAGGCACACTGAGAGTATAATAAATTCAATATGGATAATTTCTACAAGAAACAATAACCTTAACTGTTTGGTAATTATCTTATGCATACATTTATTAATACTTTGTTTTACGCTTTTTTAGTAAATATTAGTGACATATACAAAAAGATCCTTGCAAAGAAGAAACAAACTGATAACATAAAAAAACTTTTAATGAACTAAGAGAATCTAGTAGTATAAGTGAAATGAATTAGTACATATATTAAAATATTTTGCAACAATAGGAAAGACACTTTAGAGAGGCTAATGAAATATGGTGTGTTGTTAATCTCTTATTATTTTATTATAAAACACTATTTTGCGTAAAATAAAGATCTATTAAATGAATATTGTTGAGGTATCATGTAAAAGTATACATAAAATCTCCACATCACTGGTCATTCGAGAGATGCAGATGAAAACAACACTGAGATTCCACCTCACCCCACAAAGAATGGCTGCTATCAAGAAATCACACAATAACAAATGTTGGCGGGGTTGTGGGGAGAAAGGAACCCTCCTCCATTGTTGGTGGGAGTGCAGACTAGTGCAACCACTATGGAAATCAATATGGAGATACCTCAAAGAGCTTGGACTGGAGGTTCCATTTGACCCAGCCATCCCTCTGTTGGGTATCTTTCCAAGAGAACTAAAAGAATCATATCACAGAGAAGTATGTGCACCCATGTTTATAGCGGCACAGTTTGTAATAGCTAAATCTTGGAAACAACCTATTTGCCCATCCGTTGGAAACTGGATAAAGAAGTTGTGGTTTTTCTATAAAATGGAATATTACTCAGCCATAAAGAGCGAGAGAATAGATTCATTCATAGGAAAATGGATACATATTGAAGATATACTCCTAAGTGAAATAAATAAGTCCCACATGTGTAAATACCAAATAGTTTCCCTGGTGTGAATATTCTGCAACAATGCATAAGATTCTAATAAGATTACTGACATTTAGAAATGGGAGGAAAGGAGCTAAAGGTGTAGGGAAGGTGTGATACGTAGGGGAAGAACAAAAAGGGAAAAGAAAAAAATGTGAGAGAATGAAAAGATGAAAATAAAGTGTTTGTAGATGGGGAGGGGAGGAGGGGGTGAAGGGAGGGCAGAGGTAAGGGGAAAAAAATGAGAATCAAGACTTGCCATGTAAAGGTACATGATCCCAACAATGAATGTAACTGTACTGTATCCCTAAATGTACCAATAAATTCAATTTAAAAAAATCCCCTTGTTTGTAATTTATTTCATACCACACAAAACACAAGTTATCCCTTTACCTAATTTAGATCTTTCCTCAAATTCACATTTTCAGTGTCTTTTCTTAACTTTTTTACAGTTTGATCCTCCCTTCTCACACATTTCCAATTTCCCTTCTCTATTTATAATGTTAACTTCTTATACACTGCATTTTATACAAGTACAATTTATTTTCTATTATGTTTGTTACATTCTAGAAAATACACTCATAAGAGGTATTTTTAAAAGTCTTGCTCATTATTGTGTCTCTCTACCATATATATCTGGCACAGAGAAGATATTAAGTAGATATCTTTTTTGTCTGCATAAATGAATTAACCCTCTTTCATCACAAAGCTTTTCCCTGGCATTTTCTTCTGAATATTTCAGATTCGACTTTGGTTTCTAAAATCATTGATTTTTCTGGGTGTATTTACCTGGGGCAGATCACTTTGTGGGTTGCACACAGTTTATTTGTCTCATTAAATCTAGCTCTACATGTATTTCTTTTTTTATTTTGTTTTGTTTTTTCATTCACCGACTTTTAGACAAACAGCTCTGAGAGAAAAATGCAGCAGTGACCACCATAAAGAATCCAATGATTTGACTTTCCTTTGTTTGATGCCATCAGAATAAAGACAGGTTAAGGAAATTGAGTTCAATGTATGGGAAAGTTTTGAAAAATTTGCACAAGTCACATTCTGTGAGGAAACTGAGGATGTTATACATAGCTCTACTTGAGACGTTGGAAAGTTGAAGTAACAAAATATGTTCAGCCTTCTAATGCTAACAGTTCTATTCTGTTAACTTACTGCTGTATGATATAACCACCCCAAACTTCATGAGGGAAACAGCCACCATTCCAATACATGTGGATTCTATAGGTCAGTTCTTCAGGTAGGTAATAGCAGGATGTAGTCTTTTGTTCAGTAATGTGTATGACCTCAGCAGAAAGACCTGGAGGTCTGTGTGCATTTAAATACTGGGAAGTGAAGTCATAGCCTAGATGAGAAAGAGAACACTGAGCAATGATGGAAATATTGGATGTGAGAGCTGGTTATGGAGCAGTCCATGAATTCTGCGTGGCTATGGAACACTTTAGTGGTGTTGTAGAACTCTTTTAGGGTTTAGTTGAAATTAATCTGAATGAAAGAGATGCATATATGATATGTGGAAAATTAAAATACAAAATATTGTAGGCATAGTAGTATAGTGCTAGGGATTTAAAAAGACTAAAATGTGGGCTCAGGTGAGACTGTTGACGGGGGGTCTACCTGTGGCCTCCATGCGGTTTGGGCACTGTGGCCTCAGACTTACCCAATGAGCTCCATGTGGCTTAGGGTTCCAGGAACAGCTGTCCCATTGATCAAAAGTAGAGTCCACAGCTTTGTTTAATTAAACCCCTGTGTAAATTCCTGTAGAACATTTCTCCAATTTTCATTACCTAAAGTTGTCAGAAAGCATTCAAGATGTAAGGAATGGTAACAAAGACAGCAACCCTAAAAAGAGATGCAAATAATTTTTGGCATGTTCTTAAACTGCCAGAGACTCACAAGATTTAGCGATTATGACATAAAGTGGATTTCCTCTGTTTTCCTAAATCTTAGGTGTATTATAAATGATCTGCAGATTTTGGGTTGATACTAAAGACATATGCTGATCATAAAATCTAGATATGCACTACATTTTCTTGATGTGGGCCTAAGGCTTCTAGCTCCAGGATAAAGAACCAAAAAAGAAATGAGTAAATAGATAAAAGTGAATAAATTTTAAGGAAAGAAGAATAATGCAAAATTATAGAAGAAAACCTATCTTTATTTTACATGTGTGCAAATGGGGATTCAAATTCCAATGCAAAGTTTCATATGTAGAATATAAATATGCCAATAGCAACACAGAGTAAGATAAAGCCTTGAAAGTAAATTACTGATTTTTTTAAAGTAGGTGTATATTTTATGAATCAGGTGAGTGAGACCTTTGTAAGCTTACTTTAGGCACATTCCTGACTCTTCCAGCAGCCATCAATAAAGGAGAAAGAAGACATTCACTGGACATTACAGCTTTGCAAATCTATTCCAGTTCATCTAGAATAACCCAGCAGTGAATTGAAAACAGAGGTTCTCTACAAACAGAACTGTCGAGCATACTGGAGACCTTGCCTTGGATCATTTTGATTGTGAAATTCATAATGGGGATTTGGGGAAATGGATTCATTGCACTGATAAATGGCATCGACTGGGTCAGAAATCGAAAGATCTCCCTGATTGATTTTATTCTCACGTGCTTGGCCAGCTCTAGGATATGTTTTCTTCGGACAACAATTTTGATTATCTCTTTCAATTCAGTACATGAGAACCTATCTCCCTCTAAGGGTATACTGATGAGTGTTGTCATCATCTGGATGGGATCCAACTACTTCTGCACAGCCTTTGCCACTTGCCTCACTCTCTTCTATTTCTTCAAGATAGCTAACTTCTCCAACCCAATTTTCCTCTGGATGAAACAGAGGATGCTTATGGTGCTTCTTGTTATAGTCCTGGGCACAGCCCTTTCTTGCTGCATGAGTCTCATTTTCATTGATGCTTTCACAAACAGCTCGACTGAAAATTGGATGAAACGAAACCTCACATTTGATTATATGAAAACTTTTTATAATTGCTTAATTTATCTGATTCTCCTTAACATGGCCTTCATCATCTTTTTTGTGGTGTCCCTGACTTCCTTCTTACTTTTAATCTTTTCCTTGTGGAGCCACACCAAGAGGATGAAGCTACAGGGTCTGTATTCCAGGGACTCGAGCACGGAGGCCCACCTAAGAGCCATGAAAGCCATGATTTCATCACTACTTCTTTTCATTATGTTCTACATCAGCCATGTTATGATATATTTGGACCACTTTTTTGCAGACAATGTGTCAAAGATTTTTGTTAATGTGCTAGTATTTTTCTATCCATCTGTTCATCCATATCTTTTGATTTTATGGAACAACAAATTGGAACAGGCTTCTCTCTATGTCCTGAGGAAGCTGAAATGTATCAGAGAGGAGATAATTTCATATTCCCAGGAATAAGCCTGTTGTGACTGATGATGTTTTTGGGGAAAAAAATAAGTAAAAAGGAAGAGAAAAGAAGGACTTCACATTTGTCCCTTTCAGAGCCTCTTCTGCTCTCATGCTCTATGATATATTTTGCTTCTTCTTCTTCTTTTTTTTCCTTTTTACTCTTTTTCATTTCTTTTCTTAACTCCTCCCTTCCACCCCCCAAAGTACTGAGGATCGAACTCAAGGCCTTCACACTGAGTGACATCCCAGTCCTTTTTACTTATTTTGAGACAAGATCTCATGAAGTCTTTCAATTGCCCAGGCTCAGCTCAAACTGGCAATCTCCCTGCCTCAGTCTCCAGAATACTGGGATTTCAAGCATGTACCACCAGGTTTGGCCTATGATATGCTATTGAACATTACTAAATTACTTGATTTTAATTAAACAGAAAGGATTGATATTTGGTACTTTACTTTTTTAAACATTTTTTGTACCTTACTTTTACATTAAGCACTATATTATGAATTATTCCATTTGTATATTTTATTCATTTATTGAAGAAATGTTAGAATAGAATTAAAATACCTGATGGATAGTGGTATGTACTTATGTATATTAATGTATATGTGTGAACAGATTTTTAGGCACAAGTGTGTAAAGGTTTATTACCTACACAATCTTTAAAATGATCATTCTAAGATGTTCAGTTGATAATTTAAAAGCAGAAAATAGTTAAAGGAGTCTACAGTTTAACTAAAACTTTGAGAGTATAAAAATAAAGTGATTTAAAGGCACGCATTAGTACAAATAATTTTCAAATAGACACCTCATTCTGTAAGTATTTTAAATAAAAAAGGTTAAACAATCTTGATTACCAAGAGGTATCAAAACTAGAAAACCTTGACTCTAGAATCTGAATTATTGATGTAAAAATTAAATTGTACTCAATTGGCTAACTGTATAATTAAGGCAGGGACATGTAATAGAAAATGAATGAGATTCCAAGATGTGATGGTAGCTAATATAAGGCCATATTTGGTAAAAGTCACCACAAAAAACAAATAAAAATGAATATTTCAAAGGAAATGCAAATCAGGGGAAACACTCAGATTGCCAAGGTAAATTCTGGAAGGATGACTCTTCTTCATAAGTGCAATTAGAGACTGTGGACATAGCTCAGTGGTAGAATGTGTGTCAAGAGTGCACAAAATCCTTGGGTTCAAACTTAGAACTGTAACATAAACATAAAAACAATTAGGAAGTGTGAAAAATTTAAGGTCAAAGAAAAATGAAATATAAAACATAAAAGAGTAAATTAAGGAGAAACATTAATAAATCATTAGAGTAATGGGGTTCAAAATTTGGATTTTCTTTAAGAGAGAAAATAAGATATTGCAAGGAAATAATATTATTCTGAACAATAATTTCAATACGCAAAATGTTTAACATTGCAGAAGGCAATTTAAAGTCAATTATACAGAATTAAATATAGTCAAGCACGGTGGGGTTACATCTGGAGTTGTTTTTGTGTCTTCCAATCCATTCCACTGATCCTCAGATCTGTTTCTTTGCCAGTACCATGCTGTTTTTATCACCGTGGCTTTGTAGTATAGTTTCAAATTGGGGATTGTTAAACCCTCTACCATGTGTCTGTTGCCTGAGATGGCTTTTGCTATTCTAGGTCTCTTATGGTTCCAAATGAATTTTTGGATTCTTCTTTCTAGTTCTGTGAAGTATAGTCTTGGGATTTCAATTGGTATTGCATTGAATCTGTATAGCAGTTTTGGTAGTATGGCCATTTTCACTATGTTGATTCTTCCTACCCAGGAGCAGGGGATATCTTTTGATTTTCTTATATCCTCTTCAATCTCTTTCTTCAGAGTGCTGTAGTTTTCAGTGTAGAGGTCTTTTGCTTCTTTTTTTAGATTCATTACTAGATACTTCATTTTTTTGGTTGCTATTGTGAAAGGAATTATTTCCCTAATTTCTCTCTCAGTGAGTCTGTTATTTGTGTACAAGAAGGCTATTGATTTTTTGGGTATTCACCTTGTATCCAGCTACTCTACTGAATCTGTCAATTATATATAAAGAACTCAAAACAATCCGCCCCCCCAATATAAAGACCCAATTCAAAAATGGGCATCTGAAATGAACAGATATTTCTCAGACAAAGAAGTAAAAACAGCAAGTAAATATATGAAAAAAATGTTCCACATCACTGGTCATTTGAGAGATTCAGATGAAAACAACACTGAGATTTCACCTCACCCCACAAAGAATGGCTGCTATCAAGAAATCACTCAATAACAAATATTGGCAGGGTTGTGGGGAGAAAGGAATCCTTCTCAATTGTTAGTGGGAGTGCAGACTGGTGCAACCACTATAGAAATCAATATGGAGATACCTCAAAGACCTGGGACTAGAGGTTCCATTTGACCCAGTCATCCCTCTGCTGGGTATCTTTCCAAAAGAATTAAAAGAATCATATCACAGTGACATATGTGCACCTAAGTTTATAGCAGCACAGTTTATAATAGCTAAAACTTGGAAACAGCCCATTTGCCCTTCAGTTGGAAACTAGATAAAGAAGATGTGTTTTTTCTATAAAATGGAATATTATTCAGCCATAAAGAATGAAAAATTAGATTCATTCATAGGAAAATGGATCCATATTGAGGATATACTCTTAAGTGAAATAAATAAGTCACACATGTGTAAATACTGAATAGTTCCTCTGGTGTGAATAAGCTATAATAGTACATAAGATCCTAATGATATAATGGACAATACAAAATAGGAAGGGGCTAAAGGTGTAGGGAATCTGGGAAGGGTAGGGCAAAGCTAATAAGAGGAAGAATATGAGAAAATGAAAAAATGGAAATGAAGTTTGTGTAAAGGGAGAGGGGAGGAGGGGTGAAGGGAGGGCAGAGACAAGGGAAAAAAATGAGAACCAAGATCTGTCATGTAAAGGTACAAGATCCCAATAATGAATGCAACTATACTGTGTACCTAAAATATACCAATAAACTCAATGAGGAAAATAAATATTTACATTTACAGGCATAAAGAGCTTTCATTCTTTCCAGTTTTCTCAGCAATCTCTGTTAAGTAACTTTAAAAAGTTTTGACTAGTCTTATTTACCATTATGAACTTAAAACTTACAAAAGGAGCTGCCTGCCTGCCTGCCTGCGATCACCCGGCGGCGTACGCGCGAGCTCCTGGCCTGCGCGGGAGCTCCCGGCCTGCGCGACAACAGACCAGGAAGGCC